AAATAACACAAGGACATGTAGACCCATAGTCTGTGGGCCCCATGGCTTGAAGGTGACCCAGAGATGGCTTTTGCTGGCAATGGAGACATATCGACTGACTTGAGTGTGAGCAACATGCCTAGGAGTCTCACTGCATGAAACACATGCCAGCACTCAGGTCTACAATCTCTAGGGACTCCCCTCGTTTCTCTTAGCCCTTATACTCATGCATTTTATTCCTTCCTCTACACAGATGTGCTGTCCTGCCTCATTCCTTCCATAGCCCACTGTTGTTATTAGTCAGCTGGCCACTCTTCTGTCCCCATGTGCCCCATCATCCTCTTCAGTTGCATGTGGATGAAAGACGGAGAACAGGATCAGAAAGACCTACCACCAGCAGCTGAAAGCAAGTTGAGTGTGGGACCTCTCTCCTCACACCTTAAAGGGGATGCAAGCAAATTCCAATGGTATCCAAAGTACTTGAAGGTCTGGAAAGACTTGGAGGAGTACAAGAAGTGGATTCTAAAAAGGGTGGTGCAAAGACAAGAGGAAGTCAGCGCATCTTCCAGCCTCTCCCAAAGCCATTTCCTCCTGCAGGTGGCTTGCAGAAGCATCTGAATTCGGCATTTACCAATACATAAACACATGGCTAAGGCAACCCAAATATGGTTTCCTTAGCAGAAATACTTTGTAGAAATGGTGCCTAAAGAAAGGCTACAAGATTTCACCCGTGATGTAACAGATACCAAGAAAAAGCAATGCTACTGCTCAGCCCAGGGGTTCCAGCACCACTCATCATCTTTGTTCTTCCCCATAGCTTTTCTGGATTTACCACATCCTAGAGATAAGGGACATAAACCGCGCACAGTGTTGGTGGTGTGGACTGTGAAAGAGACGTACATGGTGGCAGGAGGAGCAGGTTACAAGCAGAAAAGGGACAGAGCTGAAGGCTCCTTCACAAAACAGGATTCTTTTAGTATTTCTGCTGCAAACATTTTATACACCCCTTGTCTTATCACTTAGAGTAAGCTTTTCACAAGTGATCACTATTTTCACATGATACATTTTCTGAGTATCTAATGCGAGAACTGAAGCCACATCCTCATCAGTGCTGAATTCTAACAAGTGCCTCCTGGTTGGGCTTTCCACACAGAGAAGGCTATAAACAGTGCTCTGAAAAACCAGTCCCTAGATGTCTCAAGACAGACACTCAAAACAGATAGCTACTGTTGACGATTTTGGCTTCAATCTTTGTACATCAATGCTAGGGAGAACGCAGCTTAAGAATGCCCATTTGGAAACTAACAGTTCTTTATTCATTGCATGCTCTGAACAACACACCCCGAATATGGCATAGGGCCACATCAAATGGGGATAACAAAAAGAAGTAATAATCACTCATTCACTAAACGCAGCAGAGGGCCTGTAGAAAATTTAATAAAGGGTCTTGTAAGCCTGTATTACAATGCCCTAGCTCAAAATTGTACAGGCGGTCTTAGTCCACAATCTGTCAGAGCCTGTCCTGGCAACTCATGCCCTCTTTAGAGGCAAAGATTATATACGTTAAATATCAACATATGAACAGTGGGAGGGAGTTCTTTTGGGAACAGTCTGAAATACTCACTTTGTTCCTTTTCCTGGCTGAGGGCACGCAGTAATCATGACGCAGCCTCATGTTTGAAACCCTTCTGATGCCCAAAACCCAAAGCATGACCAATGGGCTTCGGCAGCAGCTCAGGCCAGCTGTGCAGGAAGAGCACAGCTCCTGCCACACAGAGGAATCACACAGGCGCTGGGGAAAACACCTCCCTGCCCTTAGTTAATAGCTGTAATTTGCTTCTGGTTTAAATAAAACATTGAAAAACACACAGAGAATACACGGGGGAATTTTTAAAAACTACAGTTCAAATCCTATCCATGCTGGGTGAAACTCTGGCTCTGCTGAAGTCAGAAACACCCACCTGTCAAGATTTCACCTCTGCTTTTTATCTGTGTTTGTGCAACCATGTCTCTACCTCTGCCTGCCTTTCTCTCCTGCCTGGGGCTTTGTTCATTAAACTTATTATTTTGCTTTTTCCCCAATTTCTGGGAAGTTCTTTTAAATCCCATGCTGATATCTGTTTCACTTACAGGATTTTTCCCTCAGGATAAAGAATAATAGTTTGATTTATGACCCTGCGAGTCCTTAGGTACCAAAAGTTTATCACTTGTTTGTTTTTTTTTCTAACTCAGAATCTGGCTGTGACAGGTAGAGGTATAGAGTGTATTCAGGCCATAGGAAAAAGGCTTTGTGGGTGAGCATTTTCAAGCCCTCAGGTCTTTCTCTAAAATCTCAGATTGTCAACCATGCCACGTCAGTGAGACAGATGCCCCACCCTTGAAAGTGATACAGAAATGAACACAAAGGAAAGAAAAAGTCTAGGCAAGTAACAAATAAGCTACCCTCAAGTATCCAACCTCAAGGAAAATGCACATTAACTTATATTACGTTATGTAGATAAAATAAGATTTACTGAATGCTAATTTTTCTCATCAGCATATCACAGAGTACAGAGGCAATGCTGGAAATGGTGACAACTTTTGTGTTTATGTACCTACTTCTCTCACAGAGAGCATCCTCTCAAACTTAATGGAAATGTAAATATAAAACATTCACTGCAATAAAAGTCTCCGGAGATAGAGCCTAAGTAGCATGATTAGTATGGAAAATGCTTCATAAATCCTAACTCCAATAATCTTTGGTAGCATAAAGGATTCATCTCATTATGACTTTCTAACAGTGCCTTGTTAATTCTCACTTCACTAATCTGCAACCTTCAAAATTCCCTCCCTGCATTTCAGTAAAGCATTGACAGCCAAGTGAAATGGGGGGGGGGGTATTCCAGCAAGGGGTACAGGTGAATATTTGGAATATATTTCAAAACAATCACTAGTTTTATAGAAAACACTGTGCCTGACTAAATTAAATGAAATAACCATCATTTAATAAATTATCATTCAGCATTTTTATTTTAAATTTTAAAACAAATATCATAATCTATCAATTAATTTATCACACTGAATCTTTTGCAAGGCTGCTCTCAGTCAGTTATAGGAATAAAAGGGGTTCTCCATTATGGGTATTTTTCCTGACATATCTCTGAGATGAAGCATCTAATTTTGGAAGGCTGTTATTAACAATAAAAATCTTGAAGTACATACACACACACACATAAAAATATACATATACAGACATATGTTAGTACAGACTTGTAGGCATACATCTCCTGGTACCACTAATATGGCTGCATAGTTTACTGAAGACTTGCACGAACACAACTCTGCTTATAAGGTAGCTTGTGTAAGAAGGCAAAATGATAGAATGTAAGAAATTCTGCCCAATTTTGTTCAGGCTCAAGAGCTGGCTTTGCCTCTACTGGCCTTAAAGTGTATTTTGAAAAAAATTAAAAACCCCTCTAAATGTAAATATACTTTAAAAAAAATGATCCTTGTTTTTTCCAGCACTAGGCAGACAGCAAATTATACAATTTCTTACCAAGAAGGGACTATTGATCATAATCAGGTATTAAGATCTGTGTTGTTAATGACTACACTACCATAGCTATAAAGTCCAGAGAATAAAAACATATGTTTGCCATTATGCAACAACCACCACTATCAAAGTTTTAATAAAACTACACTGCATTACTGGTTGTGAAATGCAGTAAAATTTTGATGCAAAACAAGTTAGAACAGATGACATCATCAGGTGTTCCACACTTAGTTTTCTTCTGTTATTAATTTTACATCATCTCTGGTGCTAGTTCTATTCCATTACTGAAAAGTATAGTTATATTTTATCAGCACACCTCTCCAAATGGACCCATACTGAGATGCATTTCAAAACATACTCCTTTATACTCCTCTCTGCGTGGTTTACCAGTGAGCATATTGACACATGGGGTACCAGTGTACCCTGACTGCTTCTGAGATCTTACATGAAGGAGAGAAGAACAGAGCACAGGGGCACCTTAGAGCCACGGAGTCCTTGGTGGAGCTGGCAGCAGTGTTTTGCCCTTTGAAACTGCTGTTTTATCATACGCTGGCTTTCTGTATGCCACTCTCTGAGAAACCACTCCTCATACCCCCTGGCTGCTTCTATCCATCTCATCTGCACTGTCATGGGGAGGACAGCGACCATTGCCTCTCCCTAATCCTCAGCAGCAGAGCTCTGTCAGCGGAATGTCCATGGGAGAAGCAGGGAAAGGACAGAAAGGCAAGAATTTATTTCAGATTTCAAAACACTGATGTATTTGAGATAGTAGGTGGCACACCTGGGCTGTACTAGAAATGACAGCTCTAGGTGCAGAAGCACTGAAACTATCTGGTCATCAGGAGCACATTGTACTGTGTAACTGAACCCTGGCATGAGGAATCCACTCTTTGTTTGTTATAAAATTAAGGAAATAAAAATGAGTCATTTTCTCCTTGACATGAATTCTACAGGGTGTAATTTTTTAGCTCCTGCCTATCCCAAGCACCAAGAGTACATCTAACAAATACATTAAGTTGGGACGTTTGATGTTCATTTCCTATTCCCATTACTTTGATACTAATCTCTGTAAGGTTATGAATGAGTGGTCTTGCAAGTTCTTTCCCTCCTCAAACATGTGAGTTCTGCCCAGTTCTGTGCTGCAGAAGCAAAAAGTCTCCATTAATCTAGCCACAATTATCACTTTAATAGCGAGGAAGAGCTAGATACCTTCTGCCTTCAGAGATTAAATTTCTTGAGCACCCATCACTTCATAACTGCAATCCAAGTTACAAACCTTTGAAAGTCATAAAAGTCTCAGTATATTTTAACCATGTTTTACTTCTCAGCCCATTTAAAAAAACATATGCTGATATTTTATTTCCCTAGAACCTTTTCATGTGACATTAGGCAGTGTGACAAAACTTTTAAGATATTCTAAAAGAAGAAAAATGAAAAGGCAACCAAGCTTTATTTTAGAAATTCAAGATAAACTAGAAAATGAACATACCAACAGCCATCATGTAATCCCAGCGGTCTATGAGGCACATATTGAAGATCAAGTGGTCAGATGTTTGCCCTTGGCCAATAAGTGGAATGTTTCTCTCCAAATTTTGGGTTATTGCAGAAGTCCAGCCAACGAGAAACCAAAAGACTATCAGGAGAATAACAGCCAGCATCCTCATCACTCGCCCACCTGTCATGTATGGAATACGTTGAGCAGTTCGGGACAGGAAAACCTTCAAAACCCTGAAAAATTCAGACAGTGCAGAATTAAGAAGAGTACTAGCAGTGTTGCAGGAATTAGATTTTCATTTTATTTCACCACCAGATTAAAGAAAATTATCAACATTCTTTCCCCTGACAGTATGTGCAAGAGTGAAATTTGAAACATTATTACTTTCATATTCATCGTATTTAAATGGAACACAAATGATTGCTGCCCAGAGAGTGCTACACAGCAATAATAGAAAATACTAGCTATGCTTATGTCAGTGACACACAATCACATGCTGTGTTGCCAAGCTGTTTTGTACCTTCCAGCTCCCTGAGAAGACTTCTATCTTTGGAAAAGGGAAGGTCACTTCCATAAAACAGCAACCATGTGTGTGAGATTTCATTTTGATGCTGTCTGTCTGCTCATCCCCAATCACGCTATTTCCACAGAAAAAATTAGCACTTGGATATTTTTCCCAATGAATATGATGCTTCTGAGACAATAACCTACTCCTCGTAGAAATAACTGTGGAACACACTTTGCTAATTAAGTGGTTTCTGACTTGTTTAGAGGCAACATGTTTCTTGAGCTGGGACAGAACCATCATAAGAAAAGCCACATCATATGTCAGGCACATATACCATGTAACAGCCGCTGAACTTGTAATACTCACTTTAAAAGTATTTGCGCTTACTATTAGGATAGGTTTTCTCCTGCCGAGAACTGTTCAAGGAAGTATCACCTGCATTTTTTACCCATCACCACCTGCTAAAGGAGATAAAGGCCCTGCTGGCAGCATGAGGGCAACCAAAATGTGAGGAAATCACCTTGGAAAGAGGGAGTAGTTTGACTTTTCATGTAGCACGTAACAACTCTTTGTGTTGCCTGCAGCAGGGGATCTGCCAAAAGCGTCTAACCTTCTAGTGTTTTCCTATGAGAAAAGGAGGGCGCAGGGGCTGCCATTGCAGTGCTCCTGCCTTGACCCTGCCAAGCTATCAAGGCTGGGCAGTGAGGAAAGGTCATCGCAGAAGTTTTCATGTACCGAAACCTCTAGAAGAGGATGGACTGAAGGCTGGAGGCTGTTTTAGAGATTGGGGTGAGAAGCCTTTCAAAGTGAAGAGGTGAGCTGTTTCAGTGATTTTGTCCTCAAAACCACAGTGGTTCCTGATTCTTAAGCATGACCATGTCCAGTGAATACTTTTGGTACCCATGAAGGGACAAATTATCACTGAGGTTTAGGGAACTTGAATTTTTTAACAAAGCTGAGTTTTAAAATGCTCTTGTCAGCTCTCAAGTCTTTTCAGTGTACCAAGCACCAAATCACCTCCAAAGCCATTCCACAGCCAGGCCCACCTTTTCAGCAAAGAAAAATAAAACTGCAGATTAATATTTATCCTTATATTTGTCTGAGAGAAGGCAGAAGCAACTGGCGTTGACTCTCAAACAAATAAAGGAGCAGTGTCTTTTAAGGTAGAAGCACAAAAGCTTTTCCGCATCCGTAAAAATGATTCATCATTTGACTACAAACACAGCCTTCACAGTGTGCATCAGGTGAAGTCAGAGATCTGAATATGTTCAACATTATGCAGCTGTTTCCCTCCCAACAGTTACTCTGCAGGGAGTCACAGTTCTTGATCTTTCCATGTTTGATAGATGTTCTGCTCTCCCTTTACAGATGCTAAGTGTTTTATGTTGGAAGCAGCTTCCCAAAGACTTCAGGCAGGATAGACAGAAAACACAGAGGCAAGGCAGGTGACTTCCCTCCGCATTGCTCAGGCGCAGCACTATTGTTCCAGGGCAGCACTGGTAAATCCTCATTTTTAGAACACTAAAAATCAGTAAGTGAAGGCTCTCTTCTTCCCTGTTGTGAATGGCGACCAATACATGCTGTGAATCCCTTCTTTGAAGGGAAGGAAAAGGTATTCTTTTTGTAGGGAACTGGAAAACACTGTCTTTTCACAGCTATAGTTCGCCATTTGAGGAAAATCTCATCATATGCGCTTATGAAAAGAAACCATACAAACCAGCTAAGAACTATTAGAAACTTTTCTTTTCTTTCTATTTTGTCTCTCCAAAGTTAATTCTTGGTCATTCTACTGAAAGCCAATGTGAGCCTTTTCTGGACGTAACAAGGCAGGACCCATTAAATTTTTTCCAGCTCTATCTCATCAACTGCTGACTGTGAGACAGATTTCTAAGGGAGAGGGGTGGGCTGCTGCTATATTATTGACCTAAACACAGTGAAAAAATAACATTTTGCAGTACGGCAGTCAAAACCCCTCTCATTTGGATCAAACCACGTTTCTTTTTTTCCTCTTCTTTTTCACAAAAAAAGCATCCACCACCACCACCACCATTTTTACCTTGGACACGTAGACCTACATGTAACCCAAACCTTACACTTTTTTTTTTTTTTTTTTTTTAAATATTTTTCTGAGAAGCTGTAAGGAAAGCTGGGTCAGATTTGTAGTGTTGAAAATCCTTCCAGATGCTGTGGTCTAAAAGTACTCAATGAGAACACAAGCTCCAGAGCTGCAGTTCCCTCATTTTCCTGCCACAATATGATCCAAACCCGCATTGCTCACCACCTCAACACTGGCTGACGTGCTCTGTTTCCTCTCATCTCCTATGTATTTTTGAACATGTATCAAAGCAGAGACAAGTGCCCAGGAGTTTCCCCTCCCAAGAGCATGCCTACTCACCAGGCTGAAGGGTCATTCTCCTCTCCACCTCTGATTCATATACTATCAAAGTTCACCACAAAAAAGTTGAATCGCTGCAATATGAGACCAAACTGCCTCAGCAAACATGCATTGCCTGATGACTGGTACCCTCCATCAGAAAACTGGGGCATTCTTGATTCAAATCCCTGACTTCCAGGTAGACAGTGTTCAGTTCCCCTTTTTCGCATTGTTCCATAGCTATATATTGGGTTGAACTAGCTGTTGAACAAATGAGAGACATTTCTCACAGGGAGGTAAGAAGCAGAGCTGGTGGGCTGCGTCTATACTAGGAAATCAAATATGCCCAGGGTTGTCCCTGACGCTGATGCCAACCGGCACAGAAGAGCTGGCATCCACACTATTGCCCTCCAACACAGGGTGGCTGCATGCAAACCATCATTCCCAGTGACATGCCATCAGCTCTGTTCACAGGCAGATCAGACAGAACACTACATTGTGCTCTACCTGCTTTGCTAGAATACACAGCTGCCTTCAAGCAAAGCTTTGATCTACAGACAGCTACAGGCAGCATTAAAGCTGATACACAACAGCCATCCTTTTTACAGTGTAAACAGAAGGCACAGTTCAGCCTGAATGAACTGCCTGAAGACCACTGCAGGTAACTCCCACTCCAAACTACCGCACCACCAAGTCTGAGGAGAATTAAGCCATACAGTCTGAGGTGTTTTTTGAGGGGTCTGGCTCCACATAAAAGGACAAGGGGAGGGCTTGGTTGTAAACACTGGGAGCTGACAGCCAAGGGAAGCCCAGCCGCCAGGAAGAGAAGTGATGCTGCAAGTGGATCGGACACAGAGTGACAGCCTGCTGGTTCACAGCACTGGCTGGGATCACCAGCTTAGAAACAGCAAGCAAAGCACATGGCTGATGCTTTAGAAGTTACATCCTGAGATGTAATGTGTAATCTTAGAAAATAAATAAAACCACATTAAATTTGCAAGTCATACCAATAATCTGTCCTGTCAATAGAAAACATGGTCCCCAAACTGTCAGCAGACTGTGTAAGTGGCAGGAACAACAGGTGAAGGATCCTGCTCTGACAGCAATGACCTGGCACAGTTTGTTTATTTTTTATTTCTAGCATCTGTCATTTAGTGGATCTGCTGAGTCATCCTGTCAAACTGTTCTGTTCCAGACTGATGATTTTTATTGTGATAGGAAAGCTACATCAGAAAGATAAGAGGTCAAGCTCTTATGAAGTATATTGCCTTCCTATGGTGCAGGGACTATGTCTTATCTGCTTTTTCTGGAGTAACAGTGAACATGCCACTAGTTACTTCAAGTTTATAGACTGATATGATTCTACTAAAAGTGAAAAGGTACTAATGGCACATGTATGGCACCACGTCAATACAAAAGAGCCTACATTTCACACTTAACACACACATGCGCGCACACACACACACAAATACTGAGTGCAGGTTTTATTTCCACATGAGGAAAGATGACTGAAGTAAGAGTATCAATACTTAAGGCCCAAGACCTCAGAAATCATACTTAGATGTACTCATACCACCAGTTACTGACTGGAAAGGATAAAACTGAACTGAGAGAGGGAAATGAACAGCTTTCTAAATCACATCCCAGCTGAAAGTCTCCCAATCAGTCACTGTCTACTTCCCAAGTAATTTCTCAAGAACTCCGCATAGAACAGACGTGAAGTCAGTCAGGCACTGAAGAAGATACTGAAATCAGGATGATCTCTTGCATTATTGAGTCTGATCATCTTGAACCTGAGCAAACCTGGGCTAAGAGCCATACCAGGTCAACAGCATGACAACGGTATGGCAAGACTGGCATCATATGCATCGTGTCCTGTCCGGTGAAAAGGTATAACAACTAGAAAAAGAAGTTCTGGCAATTATTTGGGTGTATGAATAATTCTGAGTCTCTATCCTGGTGCAGCCAGCAAACTTGGCCACGTATCACTGATAGCCAACAAAACATTTCAATTCCTTCAGACCACGCTGGCAATAAATTTAAGTGTAGGTAATAGGATATCTCCCACATTTTCCATTTCAGGAAAGAATTTTGTAACAGGAAATACACTGTCAAGAAAACCATCACCATGAAAGGCAAGAAATTCTTCGAAGAATTGACTAACCTTTCCAAATGCACTGGGTTTTGTCATCGGTAACAGAGCACAAGCTGGCTGAAGGCTAGTCTGCACAGCAAGACCACTAATGCTATCATAAGCTTGCGACACACTTAAAAGGCAAGCCCTAGGAACCAATGGTACTGGAGACACAGAGGGAGAGATTGTGCTGTATAATTGTTTCCTTTGTTCTGGA